ATTGTTTGGTTGCTTATTGTTCAGTTTGGTACAAACTTGTGTTTCTCCTGTTTGAACACCACATTCTGCACTCAACTGTTTTTTTTAAAGTGTAGTTGACTAAACTGGTTTCAAAGATCTTGACGCATTTCTCAGAGGCATATTACTAGGGACTTCTCTCATTACAAGTGCTTGCATTCAAATGAAGAGGAAACAGGTACATGGTTTAGTTACAGCAGGGATCAGCATCCTTTGGCATGCGTCCCCTCAGGGAAATCCGCTGGCGGGCCGGGACGGTTTGTTTACCTGCAGCGTCCACAGGTTTGGCCCATCACAGCTCCCACTGGCTGCAGTTCACCGTTCCAGACCAATGGGGGCTACGGGAAGCGGCATGGTCCGAGGGATGTGTTGTCGCTGCTTCCCGTAGCCCCCATTGGCCTGGAACGGCGAACCGAGGCCAGTGGGAGCTGCGATCGGCCAAACCTGCAGACGCAGCAGGTAAACAAATCGTCCCAGCCCACCAGCGGATTTTCCTGATGGGCCGCGTGCCAAAGGTTGCCGATCCCTGAATTACAGTGTGAAAGTAATAATTAACACTCATAATTTCACTTGAGAAGTGCTAATAAGTGAGCTGCAGGGAGAGAGGGCCCGTGCCTGCCAATGGTGTGTGTGGGGGGGGGAGCATGAGAGCAGCCAGTTTCAGCAGTGTCACTGAGCATGCTCAGTCTGCATTAGCCTGCTCAGTACAAGCCAAGCAGCAAACCAAGGAGGGGAAACGTGACCCCACATGCCCCCCACACATGTCACCATGCCTACTGCAGTTGTACCGGTGGGCATCAGGGGAAAAAGTTTGGGAGCCCTGCTTTAAGTGATACTACACAAGAGGAAAAGACAGGGCATGGGTACAAAAAAACTAAACCAAACCCGCTTCCTAGGGTCCAAACCTTTGTTTTAGCCAGTCACAACCTTTGTCTAAGGAGTTTTCTTACTCACACCAGGTTGCCAGCATCTCTAGCCCCACAAGCTAGCAGCTCCAACTTTCACAGGCTCTAAAGGCGCTTTACCCTACGTCTCCAAAGTGATGGATAACTAGGAGGTCTCTCCCCTTCTTTTTCTAGTCCAGTAGACATTTGACAAGTATTCTTTGGAGGATTTTCTCTCCTGCTGTGTGTGTCTTCCTTTGGATTTCCCATCCCCCTGCTGTCTCATATGTAATTGGGGCTTCCATTGTTTAGGGTCCAGAGTGCCCCGTGTCTATTAAGGACAGGGAGACAGCTGCCTTCCCTGCCTGCCTGGGGGGAAATCTGTTTCTCCCTTTGTTTGGTCACAGACTTTAAAGCTTAATGTCCGTGAGTATCCATGATTCAGCATGCAGGGATATTACAGACTGTGACCCAAGGTGCCCAGGGTAGCCCAAACTGAAAATGCCAGGGTCAGGGCAGACAGCCAAAACTGATGGTTAACAGTGATGTTAGATTCACCAACCAGTCACAAACTGCTCCTGATCCCCCACACTGGTTATCAAGAAGCTGAAAAAAAGAAATCACAGAGCCCCCTTTATTGCATTCCAGTTCTTTGGCTCCCAACCAGCACACAGATCTGGTAAAGCGAGAAGTTACTTAAAACTTTATTCATTATACAAAATGTTCTTCTGATCCCGAAAGGGCAAGCTGCATTACCAGATCAATACTAGTTTGGATCTTACCCAAAATACCATGCTGCCAGCCAATCCTTTAGTGTCTAAAACTAAAGGTTTTATTATAAAAGAAAAGAACGAGAAGAGAGTTGTTAAATGGTCAAAGAAATCAGATACATACATATGACTTCAGAGTCCATGTATCAGGTTCTTAGCAGCATTGGTGAGTTTGCTGACTTGTAAAGTCCCTCTGGAACACATCCAAAGCTTGGATGGGTCTATCAGTCCTTTGTCCAAAACTTCAGTTTGTAGAGAAGTGGCTCCAGAGGTGAGACGCAGGATTGAAAACAAAATGGATGTGATGCAGCTGCCTTTTTATATCCTTTGTTATGTGGCTTGTACATCCTTTGTCCCAAACACAAGCTCACAGCATATGGGCATGGAAAAGTATTTGCAGTTCCCTGTCCACAGGCATGTCCCTACATGTCCTGCTGACTCATAGGCTTGATGGGCCATCAAGCAGGTTGGATAGTCCTGATGCAAATCTGTCTGGGAGTGTCACCCAGATATACACCACAAGTTTGAGATATCAATAAAGCACACATATTTGCACGCACGATACAAAGATGATACATACATATAAACAAGCTTATCATATTTAACAAATTGTACCTTTTCCTCTGATCACTTACATCGCCTATCCGGTATAAGATTCATTGCAATTTTGTGATACTGGCATTGATAATATTATAAATGGTTACCCACATTCCATAGAGTGTCACACAGACATCTCACAGTTATATTAAACACCAGGGTGTCCCCGGCTTTCCTAAAAGACCTTACTCACTACACTTTTATAAGTACAGTGATATTGTAGGCAACCAGTTGATTCAATTGCTTATTCTTTGAGGTTTAGATCCCCGCTGGGGTGTCTTGACCCTGATTGTCACTTACCCTTTTATGTCATGATAACTGGAGACAATAGAAGCCACCGCCCAAGGCAATCAGCCACCAGAAAGAGCCTGAACTGAGTTAAGCTGTGTGGTTGAAAGGGTTTCCCTGGCTGGGATTGACAGCAAACGCAGGGGCTAGGGCAGGAGTGAGCAAACTACGGCCTGCGGGCTGGATCTAGCCGCTCAGGCCTTTGGATCTGGTCCGTGGGATTGCCACTCTTGTGGTGCCGCAGGCCCCGCGCTGCTCCCGGAAGTGGCTGGGGGAAGGGGGGCAGCAGACTCCAAACGCTGCCCTGGCCTGTGGGTACCTACCCCCGCAGCTCCCATTGGCCAGGAATGGGGAACCGCAGCCATTGGGAGCTTCGGGGGAGGTACCCACAGGCGAGAGCAGCACGCAGAGCCTGCTGTCCTCCTTCCCCCAGGGGCTACAGGGACATGGCGCTGTCCACTTCCCAGAGTGGCACGGGCCCGGGGACAGGGCAGGCAGGCAGGGAGCCTGCCCTGGCCCTGGTGCACGCCACTGCCACCCTGGAGCTGCTCCAGGTAAGTGGCACCTGGCCAGAGCCTGAACCCCTCCTGCACCCCGCACCCCAACCCCCTGTCCTGAGCCCCCTGCCTGCATCCCAACCCCCTGCTGCACCCCACACCACTCCTGCACCCCAAGCCCCTGCCCTGAGCCCCCTCCCACACTCTGCACCCCTCCCTGCACCACTGCCCTGAGCCCCCTCCCACACTGTGCAGCCCCTCCTGTACCCCAACACCTTTTCCTGAGCCCCCTCCCACACTGTGCAGCCCCTCCTGTACCCCAACACCTTTTCCTGAGCCCCCTCATACACTCCACACCCCTCCTCTGCCCCAACCCCTTGCCCTGAGCCCCTTCCTACACACTGCACTCCCTCCCGCACCCCAACCTCCTGCCCCAGCCCTACATTCATGGCCCTGCAAGGAGTTGTGAGCGTAGCCATGACGGGCTGAGCTCCTTGGGGCACAGGACCAGCTGGAGAGGCAGGCTTCAGGATTTCTGAGCAAGGAAACGATCAGCGGCTGATTGTTCCTGTTGGTGCAGGGGCACAGGACTGTGTGGGAGTATTCAGTAGATAAACAGGACTGCACCACGGAAATGCAGTTGGAAATAACCCTGCAAGGCCCCAAATACTGGGGGGTGGAGCAAACTCTAGGACAAACCTGGTCTCATTGCACTGCTGTCCCCCCGCCTGCAGCTGCGGTGTCTAACAGGCACTAATCGAGGGTCCTGTGGGCTGAGCTGCCCTTTGATTGCTCAATTCACAAACCCACCTGTTCCCCACTGGGATCTGATTCTCAGAAATGCTCCCTCTTCCTTTAACCCAAACCCACATTTTCCTCCCCCAAAAACCCCAACTCGGCCGGCCTCTCTCCATCACTGGTTGCTGAGCAACATGTTTTTTCTCCTCCTTTTCTCCCTTTGCTCTTGGCCCACAGTTCAGATCACTGTGCTCCCCGGGCCAGGGCCAGCTCCTTTGTTTAACCCCACACTGATCACCTGGAGTCGACCCCTGGCAGCTGATGAAAACCTTCTGCCCTGATTTTGCCCTAGGCTTTGTAGCCGGACAGCATTTGCAGCTGCGGTTTCCCACTCTCGTTGGTCCGCAGTTTTGTCTAACCACATGCCTGCTACGTGACACAGACAGAGCTGGGCAGCAAATCTTAACTCACCTCCCTCAGGACCCCCAAAGGAGAGGAGAGGAGGGGGCAGCAGACCGGGGGCAGCACCTCCAGGATCCATCTGAGATCAGTCCCCACCCCCGTGCTGGGTCCAGCCATCCTGTGAGACACAGCCACTGCCCCAAAGAGCTTATAGTCTAAACAGACCAGCCAGAAACAGGGCGGGAGAGGAAACTGAGGTGCAGGGCAGGGAAGTGACTTGATCATATTTACCCAGTAGGCCTTGGGCAGAGCAGGTCTCCTGGCTCCCAGTCCAGTGCTCTATCCACTAGGCCACACTGCCTCTTAACTCATGTTATTCCCCAACTCTCCCAGCCAAGGCACTTGGTCCCAACAGCCTGTCCCTGCTGACATGCACTCCTAACCCCGTGAATTCCCCACCCCGGGCTGGCAGGTGCCCTGTCCTGTCCACAGGGGCCATCCTTGGACTTTCACTTGACGGAGTCTGCAGCCATGGATGAAGCTAGCTGGGCAGGTGAGGACAGGCTCTAAGGCCGGATGTCATCTCTTCCCAATCCAATTGGTCCCAAGGGGTCTGTGGCTTGGGGCTGGGGCCTGGAGGCGGGCTGCAGCAAGCGCTAGCTGGACTGCCCCCGGTTGAATGATATCTGCCTCCCCACCCCACTGGCTTGCATCATGTGCCTCTACCCCCCACCCCTCCCCTGCTGCTTCCTCCCTTGCCACCAGTATAAATCAGCTTCCTGCTCCTACTGGCTCTCATCCGTCTCCAGAGACGGGGCAGCGATTGGACACCAGGCGGGGGCTCGCTTCATCCTAACCCCTGCCTGAATCTCACTGCAGACACTTCGGGTAGGTCCTACTTTATCCCCCCTTCCCGTGGGTGACCTCCCAGCCTTTGGTGGCAGCTTGCAGGGGGGTATTGAGACTAACGCTTCATGAATGGCACTAATTAGCTGGCACCAGACCCTGCCTGGCTGGCTCTGCAGCCTGGTCCTGCTCTGATGGGCTGGCCATGACCAGAGACTGTGTGACTGATGCCCAGGTGGCCCTGCCCATGGTCTCCATCTCTAGGCCGGACGGTGCATCTTGGCATCGGTGGGCACTTGGCTCCGTGCCAGCATCAGGGGGGAAAATATCTTCTCCCAGCCTCAGAGTCAGGACTTGGGGAGAGCCCTGGCCCAGGAGACAAGTTCTTCTGGGTCTCAGCCCTTTGGTGCCAGTCTGGGCAGAGGGGCACTGGGGGCAGAGCCCAAGCCCCAGTGCCATGAGCTGCGTGTCATGGCAATGTCCATGCCCACCAGGCTGTGGCTGTGTGCCGTGGTGGTCAGAGGGAGCCATCCCTTCCCTCCCTGGCTCTAGGCAGAGTCTCTCTTTCTCCCTGCCACTCCATCCGTACCCCCTCCAGTCCTGTCCCTTTCCCCAGGGGCAGTTATGGGGCCTGATTCCCCATGGGGTGACCCTGGAACAGGGCAGGCAGGCAGCACAGGGGGACAATGACTGGTGTGGGTGCAGGGATGGATAGCAGCCACCCTCCTGGGCAAACCGTCTGCTGAGCTGGCCCCCTTTCCCAGAGGAGGGGAGCAGTAGGGTCTGGGTTTCCTGATTGCCCCCCTGCAGGGGTATCGGGGAGGTGCTAAGGGGTCATTAACCCCAGTAACTTCCATGGGGCGGCTCTGATAGGGCATAGGGTGAGGCCTCCGGGGCATGTTCTGTGAGCTGGGGGTGGGGGGGCAGATGGCAAGAAGCGGTCCCCAGGCCTGGCACAGATGGGCCCTCCACCCAGATGCAGTGAGGAATGAGCGGGCACTGGGTAGCCGGGGCTGGTGCCCTCAGCAGCAGCTGCAATGTCAATCAGACCTGCCCCACCCCCTCTCTGGGAGAAGCAGGATGGGCTGAGAGTGGGTGCGGGGAGAGCGGACCCAGCCGCAGACCGAGGGAAAGGGATAGCGAGATGTGGGAGAGGAATCCCCATCCCGACCCCTCCTGCTCTGGCTCAGGAAGGTGGCCCCGCCCCGAGATGGGGAACCCCTGCAAGCCACCCTTTGGCACCCTCCCCATCCAGAAGCTTGTGCCTCCTGCTGCTGCAGACCTCCGACTGCGGGCACAGGAGACCTCACTCAGCACAGGGGCAGGGCAGCCCCTGCTGTCCAGAGGGGGAAACTGATGCACAGTGCTCATCCCGCACATAAGCAGCAGAGCTGGGGATAGGACCCAGGAGTCCTGACCACACCCTCCCCCCACTCCTAACACCACAGTTTGCTCACTATTAGTGGCGAGGTCTCTCTGTTCTCCATACCCTGGGCACCCCCTCACTGGGCCAATCCCTGATTGGTAGGTCTATGCTGCCCCCAGTGGGAGGGAGGGAGGGGTCAGAACCATTCTGTACTGTCCAGTTTTGAGGTAATTAGAGCAGCCCTGAGGCTGCACAGCCTGGCATACCTAGGGCAGGTCTCAGATCAGGGCCCCGATGTGCCAGGGGCTGCACAGGGTGAGAGACACTCCCTGCCCCAAAGAGCTCATGGCTTAACTAGACAAAGGACGGCTCATCATTCCCTATGGTTGCCTGTGAGAGAGGCAGGCATTGAAGCCAGATCTCCTGGGTCCCAGTGTCTCAGCCACAAGCCCAGCTTCCCCATCACGCTGTCTGGAATGGCTTATGAGACTGTGAGTGCCAACCTCAGGGCAGGCTGTCAAACACAGAGCAGACACCCCAGACTGGTGGAGTGTCTATCATTAGATTTCACCAGCCAAGTTCCAGATGCAGTCTCCTGGATCACTATACCAGTCTTACCTCGGAGTCACAGACAGTCCCTCAGACTCTCCACTCTATCTTGCCACTCAGACAAACTGGGCTTAGTGATAAATGGTCACTAACACCAAAAATCACAGGTTGCTCCCAGTCCCAAGAGACTGGTCACTTACCCCAGATCAATTGGTACCGTAGGTCTTACACCAAAGACAACGCCCTATAGTAAACTATCTAAAGGTTTATCAACTAGGAAAGAAATAAGGGAGTTATTTACAGGTTCAAGCAAAGCAGATGTAAGCAGAGTCTGAATGAGCTCTCCCCTGACATCTAGTGGTGAACTGTGGAAAAAGAGTTCAGAAGCAGATCTCGTTTGCATGGACACACCCACCCTGCCTTGGTGCTCAGCATGATGGGATTGCTTGTGCAAATGATCATTTGTGGCTAGTGTTGGATCCGCAGTCTCCTTGTTATTGGGGCATGAGTAATAAAGGGTTGTTATCCTTGTTGTGTGAACCTAGGACAGCAGAACTATACCTGGCATACTCCGATGGAGGTTGGCCATCCCTGGTCTAATACTTAAACCTAGGTATCAGTGATTTCAGCTCTGCAGCCTGCAGTAAGACTCTCTAAATCAGCTCTTTTATCATACCATGGAGAGAAAGAAGGACAAATGATTTCTACACCCCTTAACCAGAATCCAGCATGTACAATCTCGCTGCCGCCGAGAGCTAGAGAGATCCAGAGGGGTCTCCCCCCACTGCTGGGATACAGGGCCTCCGAGGGGTTCAGATTAGAAAGATCAGTCACTGCCTTGGGGAGAAATACCTCGATCAGCTGCCAGGCAGGCAGACATGAGTCTGTCTAAACATGGAAGGAGGCACTGAGGAGAAACTGAGTCTCCAAACTAGGCTCTGCACACAGTGAGGCCCAGGGTTCCATATGTGCAGTGGCAGGGAGTTCGACAGGACCCATTCACAGTGCCGTCATCCTATGGGAGCATGGCCGCTTTGAGTGAGCATCTCCCTGGGATCCCCACGGGGACATATCCCGTGGGTAATGCATTTACAGCTATCTGTGTGGCTGTACAGCCAGGCAGCTATGCTCCAGTTGGAACCTTTTCAGATCAGCCCCCAGCCAAAATAAGACAGGCTGCAACGTCCCTAGGCTAGGACAACCTCTGCTGGCCAGGGAGCAATTTGGCCAACATGGCTATTTGAGTACCACAAAGAGAGGGCTGTGGGTTGGCAAAGCAGCCCAGTGGATCAGGACTCAAGAGGGCAGGGCTCCATTCCCATCTCTGCCACCAAATCAGTGGGTGATCTCGGGTAAGTCATTTCCCACCTCTCTGTGCCTCAGTTTCCCCTCTCCAACTGTGTCTGTCTGCGTTGTTTAAATTGAGAGTTTTTAAGGGCAGGGACTGGCCATCTGCACAGTGCCTGGTTCAGTGGGGTGCAGATCTCAGCTGGAGTGCTAGCACGATGCTATTGACAAGCATTCCTAATCCCGACTGCTACTCTGTAGGGACCCCAAAGGGACTGGCAAACCGGCTAATCCCACAGGCATCAGAGCAACAAGGGTGGCACTGTTGGACAGAAACCCCTGTGGTGTCAAAGCTATACAGGATCCATGACAGGAGCAGCTGGCTTTAATGAAGCAGCCAGGAATAGGACCCAGGAGTCCTGATCTCCCCCACCCCCAACACTCCCTTCTCAGAACATGTGCCAGCCTCTCCCTGACAGTGAGTTGGGGAAAATTCCCCCTGGAGACAAGGGTGTGATTACTGTTCCTAGCACTTGGAGAGCCTGTGAGAGACAGGCCCTCCTGCAAAGAGCTGTCAAGGTATATAGACTCAGAGTGATGAAGGGAAACTGAGGCACCAGGGGGAAGTTATTTGCTTAAGGTCACCCAGACCAGTGGCAGAACTAGGTCTCCACCTGGTGCTCTAGCCACTGGACCATGCTTCCCCTGCAGGAGAGGAAGCTGGCAGTGCCCATGTCCTAGGGGCAATGGCTGGGTGAGAGGCCCTGCCCTGATTCCTTCCATGTCCCTTCCATTGGCAGGCTGGCCCGCCTGGTGCTGCCCATGCTGAGACTGCTTGGAGGGGTGGATGGAGCCATTTAACACCTCGCACGCCAATGGGACGGAACCCTTTATACCGGCATCATGGCGAGCAGCCTTCCTGATCGGCACGCTGGGCATCGGGCTGCCAGCCAACACCTTCATCATCTGGCTGACAGGGTGGCGGCTGCAGCGCCGGGGCCTGTCCGTCTTCATCCTAAGCCTTGCCACCTCTGACTTCCTCTTCCTCTCCGTCACGGTCACGCAGATCATGGAGACCCTGCAGGGCGACAGCTGGGTGCTGGGCGCCCCCATGTGCCGCCTGCGCCACTTCCTCTATGACTTGAGCTACCACTGCAGCCTCTTCCTGCTGGCCGCCCTCAGCGTGGACCGCTGCCTGCTGGTGCTGCTGCCCCTCTGGTACCACTGCCACCGCCCCCTGCGTCTCTCCAGCTACATCTGCCTTGGTGCCTGGCTGGTGGCCGCCCTGCTCAGCATCAAGGGCTTTATCTTCGCCGACGTCGTCCTGTGGCCGGACGGCGTGCTCGCCTGCAGCAACATCCGAGGCAAATACGAATGGCCCCTGCGCCTGCTAGAGGTGCTGCTAGAGGGACTCTTCCCCTTCACCATCATGGTGATCACCCATGCTGCCACCTTGGCCCGCACCTTCCGGCGCCACACTCGGCCCCCCAGCCAGTTCTACCGCATCGTGGCCGCCACCCTGTCGGCCTATGTGCTGCTCAACCTCCCTTTCCAGATCATCCAGCTGCTCTTCCTGGCCTCCTGGGAGCACGAGGAGTTCAACAGTCGCATCTTCCCCTTCATGGTCTACTTCGGCTACCTGATCAACCTCAACAGCAGCATCAATCCTCTCATCTACATCTTCTTCGGCTCCAACGTCTGCACGGGCTGCAGCCGCTACACAACCTCCTCCCTTGCCACAGCCCTCACCAAGGAGCAAGGGAAGAGTCCTGGGGACACACCCAGCAAGTCCTTCTCAGCCTAGCCCTGCCAGCAAGGCTAAGCTCCATGGCCCAGCCCCTGCTCTGGCACAGCTCCAGTCACCAGTTGAGTGGTCACTGGCTCCCCTGACAGGGCCTGGCCACAAGGAGGGGGGTCTGTGCACAATTGTAGGTTTACTATGTAAATGGATACAAGGTGGGGCTTGGTCAGGGACAACCAGCTCCAGGTAGCCACCAGGGGAAGTCACACCAGTGCTAAGGCCCAGTTTGCCCCCATATTTTCCCAACCTAGACAAGCTCCAGCGGGGACAGATCCTCAGCAGATGCAAACCAGGCCCAGCTCCACGTGCAGGTCAATGACCTGGGAACACCAGGCCCTAGGCAAGGCAATGTAAACACTGACGTGGCTGCAGCTGCCAACCCATAGGTGCCAGGAAACACTGCGGGGAAGGGGACTCTGCCCCTTTGGGACTATTTGTGCCTGGCAATCTTGCCTTTAGGTGTGCCTCCCAGATCACTGTGTTTTAATACAGTGGCTGTTCTGCACACTACAGCTAGCTACCCAGCACTGAGGGTACAGGTGCCCCCCTAACTCTGTCCCCTAGGGCCCCTGCAGCCTGACCATTCTGACCTGCCGAAAGCAGGCCCAGTCTCCTCTTCGCACACATGACTATGACACAGAAGCTGCAGTCCAGGTGTATGCGGGGGATGGAATTAGAACCACACACCTGAATGGTCAGAATTAAGGCCATGGGGCTGCCCTGGGGATCCCCACCTTCCCACACCCACCAGGGGGCAGGTACTGCTCCCCCCTACCGCTTCATGGGGGCAGGACACCCCATAGAGGGCCACACCCCACGGCTTTAATTCTGACCCCTTGGGCCTGTGGTTCTTTAATTCTGACCTTCTGAGCTGGGGGGGGCCACACACACACAGCTCCTCCTCAGTTGCCTCCAGCAGGGTGTCCAGTGTGTGGGCCTGGCTGCCCACCAGCACCTCCTGCTAGGGACTCAGAGCCACCTTTTGCCCTCATCAGGAGGGAGTGGGGTAGAAGAGGTGCCCTGGAGATGCGCTGAGCTCATGTCAGCCTAGGGGCTCTCAGGTGAGTGACCGCAGGTAGGGACATGGGGGATCAAGGGGAGAAGGGTTCCCCCTGCTGAGTAATCTCAGCCACACTGACACAGGGGTAGGGGGCTGAAAGCTGCATCACAAGGTGTTGGAGGGGGAAGTGATTTTCTCCTACCCCCAGCCAGGGGCACGCCCACATTTCCAGGGAGCTAAGTGCATGGCAAAAGGGGGATCCATCCGGGGCCTTGGGATCCAGACTCCAGTTAGTGTGTATCTGCCCAGTGACCCCAGTAGGAAGAGAGAGGAGCTGCAAATTCATTCCTGGAGTGAAGAATGAGGAAGCAGGACAAGAACTCCCCTTTCCCACGCAGGCCACTGGCAGAAGTGATTGAACCCGTGACCTTGGGAGCTAAAAACATAAGCCTCTACTGCTTGAACTAATCTCCCTGCTCTGGGAGTGGATGGGTCACTACAAAAAGTAATTTTCCCTCCCTTGGTATTCACCCCTTCTTGTCAACTGTTGAGAATAGGCCACTTCCACCTTAATTGAATTGGCTCGTTAGCACTGACCCCCCCCACCACCACTTGGTAAGGCAACTCCCATCTTTTCATGTGCTATAATATATATTCTGCTTATTGTATTTTTCACTCCCTGCATCTGATGACGTGGGTTTTAGCCCACAAAAGCTTATGCCCCAATCAGTTTGTCTCTAAGGTGCCACAAGGACTCCTCCTTGTTTCTGCTGATTCAGACTAACGCAGCTACCGCTCAGGAACTTGCCCCTGCTCTGTTAGCTACAGGTGGAGCAGGCCCAGCAAGCTGTAGCGAAGACCCAGGCACCCCAGCAAGAGCAGAGCACCAGGCAGAACGAGCCTGAGTGACAATAGCTCCCCTCAGTCCGATTCCACTCCCCTCCTTGGGGCCGCATTCTGCCCCCACAGGCCACTGGTCACCTCCTACAGTCGCAGTTGCTGGTTCTTTACGGGCCCCTCTCAGGGCTCCTTTTACCCAGCGGTGCCAGGTTAGGGTGGGGACCTCATCTGTGTGTGCCTTCTGGGCTGCAAGGAGAGTGTGATCACCCATTCATTGTATTTGCTGTGCTGCCATGTCCAGCACCAGTGGATTTGGTGGCCATGTGGCTTGGGGTGGCCTGTACAGATGCTGCTTGGCTACCTGCTGCACCCCATATGCTAGCAAGCTTTTGCTCTGCTCTAAGGCCGCTGCGCCAGTCCAGCTAGGGACAGGGAAGTGTTAAAGCTGCTGTCACCCCATGAGAGGAACATCCTGGCCCGGGGAGCATGTCTGACAGCCCACTGCGGGTCTGCCCTCTGTTGGCCCAGGCTCCGCGAGGGGTGCTGAGACAGACCTGTGGCCGTACGTCCTGCACACTCAGCGCCCTCCCCAGCCCCACACATGTGTGTTTGTGTGATGTCGCTTGTCCTCTGGTTTTATTAAATGTGTTCCTGGAGAGGGCGTTCTGTGCTTCTTTGGGGACCCCTGCAAAGGGGCATGGAGAGCCGTATATCTGGATGGGAGCTGGTGTCCCCTGGAGGGGAAAAGCCCCGTGTCCCATTCCTTGCCCCGCTGAGCCAGCCAGTCTCCCGCCCTGGGGCCAGATCAGGGCCTCCCCCGCCAGAGGGAAAGGCCCCATGTCCCATTCCCTGGTCCCAGGAGCCAGCCAGACCCCGCCACCCGCTGGCCTCTCTCTCCCGCTGGTTTGACCGGGGGAGCCCAGAAGAGGGTGCTCCATCTCCTCAGTCCCCGGGAGGGGGGTCACAGCAGTCAGGCCCAGCCCCGCATGGGTGTCTGAGATGACAGGATCCATCCTCACCTCCCTCTGGCTCCCCTGAACTGGCCCATCCATGTGACCCATCACTCCCGGTCCTGACCCATTTCCCCCCGGCACCGTCCTGGCCCATCCCCCCCGTTGGCCCATCCCCATTCCCCGCCCCCCCAACCCCCTTTGGCCCATCCCCCCATGTTGGCCCATCCCCATTTCCCCCCCCTTCCCCCGCTGGCCCATCCCCACCCTGGAGCTGACCCCCCCGCGGCCCGGGGCGGGCCGATCTCGGCGCAGCCAGTCCCAGGCCTGGCCCGGCCCGGCCCACGCAGGTGAAGGGAGCGGCCTCCCCCGCTACTTCCTGCCGGCCCGGCGCGGCGCCTCCATCCGCCCGGCAGCGGCCCCGACCGCCAGCGCCAGCACGGCCGGTGAGTGCGGCCCCCTGGTGGGGGGGGCGCCGGGGGCCCAGCCCCGGGCTGCGGGGTCTCGCTCACGCTCGGCCGGGCCGGGCCGGGCCGCCGGCGTTGGTGTCCGTGCGGCGGGGTGTACGGGGAAGTGGGAAATGAAAATCCTGCGGGGAAATGGTGAAATCGGGGGGCAGGTTATAGTGTGCTTCCCACCCCCCCCGCCCCGCCTTCTGTTTCGGCCCTCTGCCCTGAGCAGAGTTCATGGTATTTTGCCCTCCCGTCTCTAAGATGTGCCCCCGCCCCCGCCCGGCTGGCTCTGGGGCGTGTCTGATTCCCAGGGCATCGGTTTCTGCTCCGGGTGGGAATCGGGGGTGATCCCCCCTGCTCGAGAAGTGCGGGGCCGGGCTTCCCCCCGGCTGAATCCGGAGTGATCCTGCCTGGGGCCTCACCCCTGGGTGGTTCTGGGGCCAAGCTGACCCCTCTTTTTAGGGGGGCTGTTGAACGTGTGTGTGGGGGGGGTCTGAGCTGCATTTGGCCATCCCCATGGCATCTGACCCCCAATCAAAGAATATCAGGGTTGGAAGGGACCTCAGGAGGTCATCTAGTCCAACCCCCTGCTCAAAGCAGGACCAACCCCAACTAAATCATCCCAGCCAGGGCTTTGTCAAACCTGACCTTAAAAACTTCTAAGGAAGGAGATTCCACCAGCTCCCTGGGGAACCCATTCCAGTGCTTCACCACCCTCCTAGTGAAATAGTGTTTCCTAATATCCAACCTAGACGTCCCCCACTGCAACTTGAGACCATTGCTCCTTGTTATGTCATCTGCCACCACTGAGAACAACCGAGCTCCATCCTCTTTAAAACCCCCCTTCAGGTTGTTGAAGGCTGCTATCAAATCCCCCCTTGCTCATGTAGCCTCTGTGCAATGGGAAATACCACCCCGCCATCCCTGTTGATTTCCTCACCCAGGTCCTGTATCCTACCTTTTGTTCTGCCCCTAGGCACTGGAGGCCTTCAGGCCAGACCCTCTCTTGCCTCAGTTTCCTGATCCATTGGGGCTAATGATCCTGCCCTCACCCACCCACTCTAGAGTGCTGTGAGCCCAATACTCTGAGCAGGGACACCCACCCCCATGGCCCATTGGGCACCCTGGGCATTTAGATGAGAATGCTGTCCAAGAGGGGTGTTTGGTTTGTGTGATCTGAAATGGGATGGGGGGGGACATAGGCTGTGACCCTGGAAACCCCTGGACCATCTTCCTCTGCATCAGCATCTTGCTGAGAAGCCCCCAGCAGAGGGTGATCTAGCCAGGGGGAATGACCCTCTCCCCCCCAAAAACACCTCCTTCACCAAGATTGGAATTTAACCAGGGGGCTGTGAAGGGACCCATGTCTGTTTGTGCTGGGGACAGCGTGTCTGAGCCCTTTGCCCGCAAACCTAAAGATGATGCTTGGCTCATTGAATGGGGGAGCTGGTTGAGGGCTTCACCTTGTAAACAGAGCCCCTGGAAGGCTGGGTTTCAGCCCGAACCCAACAGGCCCCTTTGTCCTGCGAAGCTCGGGCTGATAAGGGAGGAATTCTGGGTTATTTTGTGGGGAGGTCTTGCCCTTTCCCATGAGCCTCATGCTCCTGGCTGTGCCCCAAGTGGTAGGATTGATGCTTCCCCGACATCCTGCAGATCAGAGTCGGGGGGGAGCCAGCCCCTACAGCCCGCACAAGGCTCCAGCAGCAGTTTCTAGGAGACCTTGTCTCCACTTCCCAATCCCGCCATGCTGTGGCACTGAATACTTCATTCACTTCCTGCCCTAAACTCTTGTATAACATGGCTGTGCAGTTACAGCTGCCATGCTCCACCCCCGAGGCAGTTGCATCCTGGCATTGAGCAAGGGATCCTGTATATAAAGCAGTTGCGCTCCACCGCAGAGACAGCTGCCACTCAGCGTTGGATGAGGGGTCCTGTGCGTATTAAATCAGCTAGCGTGTCCCACCCAAGAAGTCGCTGCATTTCAGGCCTGGCCTCTCTGACTCTTGCCCCCCCAGCCATGTCGTTCAGGAAGGTTGTGCGTCAGAGCAAGTTCCGCCATGTCTTCGGGCAGCCCGTCAAGAACGACCAGTGCTACGATGACATCCGCGTCTCCCGCGTCACCTGGGACAGCAGCTTCTGTGCAGTCAACCCCAAGTTCGTGGCTGTGATCGTGGAGGCCAGTGGGGGAGGAGCCTTTATGGTGCTACCAGTGCTCAAGGTGACTGGGGTAGCGGGGGGCAGGAGCTGAGTCCTACCAGCTCATTGCACTGGTGATACTAATGTGCTTTGAGCCTCAGGCGAGATGGGAATGGGGAGAGCTGTGGTTAGCCTTGGGGTAGAGAATGGGTCTGTGTGAGGGTCTATTCCCTCCCCCCCCCCCAGTGCTGCTTCCACCTGGCAATAAGGGGGACAGTGTAGTTGGGAAGGTGATGTCCTGGAATTTTGTAGTTCACAGATGTAATGAGTTTGTTCTCAACTGCATCACATGTGCATCCCTGAAAATATGCCCCTACACCCCCCCCCCCAAAAAAAATCAACAGGATTGCAAGTGTATATAGGAGGAGCCCAGGGCTGGGATAGAAGGGAGCTGCGGGTTGGGACGGAGGGGCATTGGCAGAGCTGTGGGGGGAGCCCACAGCTGGAATAGCAGGGGAATGCGGGTCAGGATGAAGGGGCTCCGGCTGTAGATTGGGGAGGAATCTCCTGTGACTCTGCCCCTTCTCCCCCAGACAGGGCGCATTGATAAGTCATACCCCACGGTGTGTGGGCACACGGGCCCTGTCCTGGACATCGACTGGTGCCCGCACAGTGACCGTGTCATCGCCAGCGGCTCTGAGGACTGCACCGTCATGGTGAGAGGGCTGGGTGCAGGGGTGGCCGTATGTGGGGGAAGGGGTTGGGGCAGGGGCAGCCAGCTCTGTCTGGATTCGGTGTAATTAGCAATCTCTCTCCTCCCCATGTGTGTCAGGGCATGCCCATGGTGGCAGGTGGAGCAGATGCCCTGTGTCAGCCAAGAAGGTTCTCTGATGGGGTGAGGGGGCACAGTGGGGTGGGCTCTCTGGGGGGGGGGAACAGGCCCCCCTCTAACCTATGTGCCCTGACAGGTCTGGCAGATCCCAGAGAATGGACTAACACAGCCCTTGACAGAGCCTGTGGTAGCTCTGGAGGGGCACTCGAAGCGCGTGGGCATCGTCACCTGGCACCCGACCGCCCGCAATGTCCTCCTCAGCGCAGGTACAGCCTCCCCCTCCCCATGATTCTGTGGGGGGGCGGGGGCAGGGCAGGGTCCTGGCAGGGGGGCAGACGGGGCTATATGTGGAGGGCTCTGTACCAGATGACTGGTGAATAGTTAATGTAAAGCCTTTTTTGTTTGTTTGCTTTGGTTTTAAATGGCTCTGAAGCAATAAACCTAACTTCAATCCCAAGAAAATTAGTAAAGGGCAGGATTATCAGATGCATAGATGAGCACGATATGTTGGGGAGAGTCAACACGTTTTTTGTAAATGGAAATGATGCCTCACCAATCTACTAGAATTCTTAGGGGCTGGGGTGTCAACAATCGTGGATAAGGGTGGTCTAGTGGACTTGAACTTTCAGAAAGCCTTTGTCAGAAGTCTCTCACCAAAGGCTCCTAAGCAAACTGAGCAGTCATGGGATAAGAGGGAAGGTCCTCTCATGGATCTGGAACTGGTTAAAAGAGAGGAAGTAAAGGGTAGGAATAAATGGTCAGTTTTCACGGTGAAGAACACTGAGCAGCAGGGCCCTCCATGCATCTGTACTGTGTCCAGTGCTGTTCAACATGTTCATAAGTGATCTGGAAAAAAAGAAAAGGAGTACTTGTGGCACCTTAGAGACTAACCAACTGATTTGAGCATGAGCTTTCGTGAGCTACAGCATCGGATACATCTGATGAAGTGAGCTGTAGCTCACGAAAGCTTATGCTCAAATAAATTGGTTAGTCGCTAAGGTGCCACAAGTACTCCTTTTCTTTTTGCGAATACAGACTAACACGGCTGCTACTCTGAAACCTAGAAAAAGAGAGAAACTGAGGTGGCAAAGTGTGCAGACAATACAACATTACTCAAGATAGTTAAGTCTCAGGCAGACTGGGAAGAGTTACAAAGGGATCTCTCAAAACTGGCTGACTGGGCAACAAAATGGCAGATGAAATTCAATGTTGATAAATGCAAAGTAACGCCCATTGGAAAACATATTAACTATACATACAAAATGACAGCGTCTAAATT